CGTCTTGGCTGCGGTAGCTTTGCTGTGAGGGGGACAGTGACCTTGGGTGCCGGGTCTGCCCATTCTTAGCGGCCCAGCCCCAGCCGTCAATAAGTTGGTTCTCTTGAGACCCCCGCTGCAGCCCCCAATCACCTGCCTCGTTTCTTCCCAGACATCTCTGGGGCTCTGCTTAGGTGATGCCCCCTTAGGGAAGCCTGCTGGGGTGCACAGGTATTTTCCCCATCCTGCTGTTGAAAGGGCCTGTCCATACCCCTACCTGATTGTAAACTCAATTAAGTCAGGAACCATGTCAGTATTAAGTTTTTACCCAGTGCCTAGCACATGGTAGATCGTCAGTAAATATTGTTTAAAGCATGAATACATCTTCCATTCCCATTTTAAATCCTGGTCCTGACTGTAAATTCCAAGAGCTTACGCTTTTCTGTATTTAACTTCAAAATTATTCGTTTGGGTCCTGATAGAGGAATGTGGTTCTCTTGCCAGATATAGGATCACAAGGTCAAGCACAAATCACCCATGGTCCCTTCCTGGCCTCAAGTTGACTGGGGCAAATGGACCACGAAATTCTGGGCAAGTACTCTGTCTATATCCCATAATTAGCATCTAAAGTCAATAATATTAAGTGAATTTTGGATTTATTCTGAGGGTCTAAATACCTGTGTATATTTTATCATGGCTGATGTGGACTGAATTGTGTTCCCTCTCAAAATTCATATGTTGAAGCCCTAACCCCCCAATGTGACTGTATTTGGAGATAGGGCCTTTGAAAGGTAGTTAAGGTTAACTGAGGTGATAAGAGTGGGGCCCTAATCCTGTAGGATTAGTGTCTTTATAAGAAGAGACAGCAGAGAGATTGCTTTCTGTCTTCACAACAAGAAGACACAGTGAGAAGACAGCCATGTGCAAACAAGGAAGAGAGCTCTCACGAGAAACTAACCATGCTGGCACCCAGATGTCAGACTTCTAGTCTCCAAAACTGTGAGAAATTAAATTGTTGTTTAAGCCACAGTCTGTGGCATTTTGTTATAGCAGCCCAAGCTGTCTAATACAGTAGTTTTATTTGTTGATACATATTATAAAGTTTATGGATTGAGATATTATTACATTCATTTTTGAAACTATATAAACCATTGTCCAGAGGTTGAAACTATTTCTCCAAAATCACATGGCAAACTGTTAGCTACACCTGGCTCAATTCAATTCTAGTTACATGTGATGGGATTAGGGAGTGTGAATACAAATATAACAGGTAAAATATTCCTTGCCATCAGGTAGCTTATATCACTGCCTTAAGTGGGGAAATTAAACCCAGAAAAAATATGCTGAAGTCATAAGTTTAGATTTTATTTTGTATGGGAATATGTATTTTGAATGGGCCAATGATCTGAACAGACCCTTTGTGAGATTTTGATCCAGATCTATTGACTACTGTGTGCCATCTATTTAAGCAGTAGAAGAAGTAAGGGAGAGAGCTTTTTCATAAAAGGATTTTAGTTCCCTGTAAATGTGTGTTTTTCTTTTAATCTTCCTTTAAAAGTTCCCTCATCACCCTTTCTTACCAGGAACTCTTAAAAAAAAAGAAAGAGAAACTAAAAAGATACAAGAAAAAGAGAAGGAATTGAAGAAGAAAAATAAGGAAACAGCAATGAGAGAGGAAAGCATTGGGTGGAAGGGTAGATAGACAGAAAGTCATATATTGCAGTATGGTGTACTTAGAAGAATGGAGTCCATGTTCGTAAGGGGTGGGAGTTGTCCCAGAGACCTCCTTTCACACAGTCTGTCTCCCCAACTTCCAAATGTAAACATGCGCTTGGCTGCTTCTTTCTCTCTTTTAAAAGCACAACTCAAACCAAAAATAGGAATCAACCCTGCTTATCCGTTATGAGTGGACTAGGAACTAGCCAGGATCAGGCAACAACATTTAAGTCAAAACTTATGACCTATGGACTAGAAATGGGGCCTCAGATACGGGTAGCTAATCTGTCTAGGATAAAAACATGTAGACAGTTCACTTCATTCATTCCAAAGGAAAGAATCTGGGAAGAAAAGGAAAGGAAAAATGAGCCTCCATGTCTTAAGACCTTTCCCAGGAAACTATGGAGGGCTTATTGTTGGAAATGCTTAAAACTTCCCTGGTGGCACAGTGGTTAAGAATCTGCCTGCCAATGCAGGGGACACAGGTTCGAGCCCTGGTCCAGGAAGATCCCACGTGCCGCGGAGCAACTAAGCCCATGCACCACAACTACTGAGCTTGCGCTCTAGAGCCCACGAGCCACAACTACTGAAGCCCGCACGCCTAGAGCCTGTGCTCCGCAACAGGAGAAGCCACCGCAATGAGAAGCCCACACACTGCAAGGAAGAGTAGTCCGCACTCGCGGCAACTAGAGAAAGGCTGTGCGCAGCAACGAAGGCCCAACGCAGCCAAAAATAAAATTTTAAAAAAAGAGAGAATGATCTGGTTTAGCATCACTGTAAGGACTATTTAGGACAAAAAAAAACCTATCTACTAATCAGTAACAAGAAAGTAATCACAGGCTTGCCTGTGAAGTATAGAAATTAGTGGACCCTGGTAACTAAATTCAGTTTCTATACTGAGTAATGTTAGTGTTTTATGGTAATTAATTCAACAAAAATTGATTGAGTCCACTCTGTGGTAAGCAGTACAATAGATACCAGAGACCTAAAAATCAGTCCTCAACTTAAAGGAGCTCCATTCAATGTCAGAGAATTAGATTTAAACAGGTACTTATTTGTATAGTAAATACAGCAATAGATATGTACAGGGGGACATTAGTCCACAGGGGAAGGGGTGTGTGTGGTCAAGCTAGTCAGGCAAGTAAGTAGGCAAAGAAGAGAGGATCTTTCCACATAGAGGGGCCTGCGTTAAAAAAAAAAAAAAAGGTATTACACAATAGTAGAATATTGCTAGAGCAGAAGATGACTAAAAGTGTAAACAAGAGTGGGTTATGCAAGTTAAGGGCCTTAGACTTTATCCTATAGGCAATGAGAAGCCATCAAAGGGTTTCTTACAGCACTTTAAACTGTCATTCTGTTGTTTTCTGGCCTCTACTCTTTCTGATAAGAAGCCAGCTGTAATTCTTATCATTGTTTTCCTGTGTGTCATATATCTTTTCCTCTGGCTGCTTTTAAGATTTTGTTTCTTTATCTTTGTTTATCAGTAGTTACACTATGTTTCCAGGTGTAATTTTCTTTGTATTTATGATGCTGGGGGTTCACTTATTTCCGTGGATCTGCAGATTGCTGGTTGTTGTATCTTTTTACCCAATTTGGAAGACTTTTGGCCAGTATTTCTTCAAATCTTTTTTTATGCCCCATTCTCTCTCTTCTTCTGTGACTACACTTACACTTATACTAGACTTCTTACCCCTTAGTACAGGTCATTCCAGGCTCTGTTCATTTTTTTTTTCAAATCTTTTTGTTTCTGTGCTTCAGTTTGGGTAATTTCTATTGAGAGCCAGTAATTCCTGAAAAATCTGAATGTTAACATTTTCCAAAAGCACAAACACCCTAAAAATGACTTTGGGTTCCTTTTGGGGTATCTTTGAAGGCATATTAGGAGAACAGAAATCACAAGATATTACAACAGAGAACATAGTATTGGGTGTTGATGGACTGGAAAAGCAAAAAGGAAACACTGAAGCAGCCCAGATGTGATAACTATAGAGAGCAGCTAGAACCCCTAGGAGTAGTGAAAAAGAGGAATCAAGGTTGGATCATCAGGTCTCAGGAGCTCAGAGGAATGACTTGCTGACCTGTAGCTTATACCCCTGGGAGGATGCTGTGCAACTGGTCCTGCTGCTACTGAGAGGGAGATGATGAGGCTGGGTAGCGGGTGGAGGAGTGCCAAAAGAAGCTTAAGGCTGAGATCAATTGCTGCTTCTGGACCAAAGGGCTCTTGCTTATTGCGGGGGTAAAAATGACAGAAACTGCAAGCAAACAGAAAGAAGGAAGTCCTTTATCCTCTCTGTTTTACAGTCTCCCTCTAATGCCCTTTATTGGTGGAACCTAGTGAGACCAGCTGGCATAGGAAAAATGTAGTTTGCAGGGTCTGAGTCATAGCATCACAGAGGAGAGTTATAGATGGGTGTATTTGAAGTTAAGATAGCTCAATAACGATAGCTTAATAAGCAATACCACATCAACATTTGTTTGTGCTAAATTAGTAAAAAATTCCCAAATTAGACCCAAATTATTGTTACTCTATGTGGTTTTACAGACTTTTAAGCTCTTCTGAAAAGAATCTCAGGACACAAAGTTTTCTGCTGTACTATGATTACTGTTAGTGTCTTTTTCAGGGGTAAGGAGTTTTCTGCTGTACTATGATTACTGTTAGTGTCTTTTTCAGGGGTAAGGAGTACCTTTACTGCAGCTCACACATATACTTACTACATAAACAAGGGCAGGTTTGGAAGAGATCTGCATAACTGAGGATGAGTAGACCCTCCCCTCAACATTCTATCTCCCACCATAAGGCACAAAATGGCATAGACTAAGTAGAGCTGGCAGGAATCCAAGCTTTTCCCTACCTCCATTTACTATGCATTGCCTAATGTGGCCTCAGCAAGGGGAAGACCAATTTCTTCTAAGGTAGGACAACCACCACTGCCAGTGAAAAACCAGCTCCTTTCCTTCGTTCCCTCTTTCTTGCCTCAACTCACTCAAGCTACTTTACCAAGCCCAATCACCTCTAGTTTTCTAATGCAAATAGGTGACAAAACAGGGCTTGGTATTCAGCATTTCACCTTATAGATTTTTGAATATCGAAGGATTTTTGTTGAACATTTATAGAACATTGGGCATGAACTTTTTACTAATTTTTGAACTTCAGGACCACAGAATTCCCATCTGAAAGAAGTCATTTCTTCAAGTCTTATGTTCTTTAGTGATAAAAGTTAACATTCTCTACCCTTTTATTATTTATAATAAATAATCATTTTTATAATAAAAATTGCCTTATTATTAACAGCAAAGAGACCAGATTCATGGTATTCCACATAATTTAGTATATGTTTTTAATTTATTAGACTAGAATAAATTTTTCCACGTCTGCATATATTAATTATATAGCACTCTGTCAGTTATACAACATATTTCCAGATGAACATTAAAATGTCTGTGTACCTATTAATAACTGAACATTAACAAGATAATAATCAGGTATTCACTTAATGGGAGAGTCTAGTATTTCCTGATAATCCTGCCTTCTTAAATTCCTCCAGTAAAGTTTATATCCAGCAAGGACAAAAACACTAATCATAATGATTACCCCTCCAAAGACATCATAGACACTAGGAAATATATGTAACACTAGAAGCTGCAACACCATGGCTACCACAATCTCCAGATGTTGCACGGTGCTGACCAAAGCTGGATGGAATTTGTCCAAGGCATAATAAACTCCTAAGAAGGCTGCAGTAGAACAAATGCATATAGCAATGAGATAACTCCAGGTTTCTCCATCTAATGGGATGATGGGTTCTTGAAGAATGAACATAGTAGATACTCCCCAGACTGTCCCAGTCCAACCAAAGGTAAACAGTGCAGTCCACATGCTGATCTTCTCCTTAATGGATCTGTATACTATCATGGAAAGAGCAGTGGTCAGTCCAGCCATCACGGTCATAGTGTACCCAAAGGCTTCTTTCCAGGCATTTAACAAAGAATTATCTTCATCAACAATGTTGGGGATCATGACAAGACAAACACCTAAGATGCTGCAAACAACTGTAGCCGTATCAACATAAGCCATTTTCTCATCTACAAGTAAAAAAGCCAAAATGGCACTGAAGACTGTGGTTGTGGCTCTCCACATAGTGGTCCCATTGCTGGGAGGAACTATTGAAAATGATGTATAAGCACAGGTGATAGAGATGACATTGCATACACCATAAAAGAAGAGTCGCAATCTGTATCCACTGGGTCCAAAGGGGGCTTCCTGGTAGTAACACACAACTAACACAGATAAGACCTGCAAAACAGAACGGATAAAAATCAGTTCTAAAGATGGAACTTTGGAACGATCAGAAACAAGCCTAGTGATAAGAGCTACACATCCATGAGCCAAAGCAGATCCAAACAGCACTATCCACATTTTTCTGGATTGAAAAATATTTTTTTCTGCAAAACTTTGGAATTGTCCAATCTCATTGGTCATTGGGTCTTCTGTTGGTGGATGTTGAGTATCCATGGTTCCAAAGAAAGTTCTTCCTTTTCTTTTCATTTCACTCAGCAGGCCTTTCTTTGGATTTTCTTCCATAAAATTTCCATAGTCTTCATTGATTTCTTCATATCCATCATCCCCAGGCTGAGGATAATGAGAAGTATATTTCACCATCACCGTGTTTGGGTGTATTTTCACCCGTTTTTTAACTGGATATTTTTTGGAGGGAGAAGTATCCATTTCTTCAGGCAATCAATTCTATTTAAGAGGGAAAAAAAAAGACAAATGTACATATTCATCACTTGAAATATAGTTTTAATTTCTATTATAATCATATGTACCAATTCAATAACAGATAGTAGAGGTTGTAACAGGAGTTTTTTTTAAAAAAGTAATAGGAAGAGATGATCTGGCAATATGCCTTATCAGATGTATGAAGTCCAATGAAATTGTCTACCCTTTTTTCACTCTCATCTTAAGTCTGCCCCTATGTCTCATTCTGATTTTTCTTTGTCTCATTAAGCTGTATTTTCTTTACATCACAAACAACTGATATTTTTCCATTTGTTCATTCCTCCCTCTCTATGCATCCAATAAGATAAACATAGAAAAATAAACGACAACATAGATCAAACCTTTCCTTCTCATTGTGTCCATTTGTCTGTATTATAAATTATAATGATTAAGTCCAAATTCTTTTGTATAATCACTTCTGTATGATACCCAAACTAGTCTTATATTACAAATTATAGTGATTTTTTAAAATGTTTATTCTGGCTTCCCATACATTTTCAGATATATGGGATGCACTGAAATTAGAAAATAAATAAAATGGATTTCGTGACATTCATGCATTTTTGCTATATACAGCTTTTCTGATGAGCAACTGGGCAATATGTTTAAGATTTTAACTAAAACTACCCTTTAATTCAGCAATATCACATCTAAGATTTTACCCTAAAGAGATGATCACAAGATGCATTTTACCTTATGTTTTTTTTTAAAAAAAAGGAAAAAATAAGAGTACATATTTATGTTTGTTTATATAATATAAAAAGTATAACAAATGAATTATGGAAAGAGACAAAGGAAGCTAATAATCATTGGGGTGGGACAGGAAACAAGAATAGAAGGAAACATTTTTACTGTATACTTTTTACTATATTTTTTGAATCATGATAATTGTTTAAAATTAAATTACAAACTAAAAAGAAAAGTTCATCTGTTATTGAGAAAAAGAGAGCATACAAAAAGGTGGGGAAAATGTATGAATAGGAGAGTTCATTGTAGCTTACCAGAATGACCCTCGATACTATGCTATGCAGCCATTAAATGACAATGCGGACCTTTACTGACATAGAAGGATGTCCATGACATATAAAGGATTTGCCATAGTGCTGGCATATAGTAAACTCTCAATGAATATTAATAAATTCAGCTTCCTTTCACCTATAATTAACTCTTTTGAAACACTGGGTGTCTTCTACAATGTTATTCTTTCTTTGAGACCTGTATTTGTTCACTTAGTTCTCTTTAGTTCTTTCCCCTCTCCCCAAGAACAATTTCCTATTTCCTTCCCAATTATTTCTCCCCTCCCCTCTAAAACATAAAAATTTTTAAAAAGGAAACCTTCTTATTTTTTGTCTTCATGACATATTCCCTGTTGCTTGCCAAAAACTCACCAGTTCTAGGATCTTAAACCATGGTCCAGAAATCAAATCCTATTTTGTTCTTTAACACCATCTGGGTAAACCAACTGTTCCTATTTACTCCTTTCTCTTCTAAATGACACCACCTTCAGTTGGAAGAATCATTTTAAAAAACACCACCTGTGCCTCCAAGCCCTTCAGTTCCTAGCATGGACCCCCCCACTTGCAGTCCTTCATGCATATTGCTATCAGGCTAATCTGGATGTTCTCTTTTTTCAACTTTTATTAGGATATTTCCACTTCAAATCATGACTTTAGCTTCAATAATCACAAACTGAATTAACAGTCTTGGTCTCCCAAATAGATTTTCCTTCCCTAAATTCCTCACTTATGTTTGAAATACCACCATCTTTCTAGTTCCCCAAGCTAGAAACCAAGGAATACTCAATTATCCTTTCTGCCATCACACTCCATTTGGTCATCAATCTTATTGTTTTTGTCTTTGAAATATTTCTCAGATTTTTCCTTTCTCCTCCAATTCCATTTTACCTTTGTGATTCTGGATCAGGTTTTTATGAATTCCCATCTAGAATATTGCAACAGCATCCTGACTAGCCCTCTTGGATCCCAGTCCTTCTGCCCTAAAATCCAACTATATTATACCACTGTCACATTAATGCCTTTAACAGATTCAAAACAAAACAAAAAACTTCCCTCAAGCTTTCCATTCAAGAACCTACAAGCTTTCCTACCAACTACGTCATTGGTCTCCACTCCTCTGCCTAACTCTCAAGACCCTGCCTAGTCTAGCCCCTATCGATACTTAGCTCCTTAACAAACATACTTTGCTCTGATCAGTCCAGTGTTCTCCCTGTCCTGACTCCCCACATGTACATGTTTCTCTAAGCTTTTATTCTCCCTAGCTTCCCCTCTGCTCCCACTTTCTAAATACTGCTCATCTTTTAAGGAGGCCCAGTCCAAATCTTGCCTTTTAGAAACAAGCCTTCCCTAACCACTCTAGCCACTTATTTTTTTCTTCTTTGTTTAACATCTGCAGTAGTTCTTCTAATTTTTGTAATCTCATCATTTTGTTATTTAGTTGTCTCAATCAGTGGAATTTTGTCTCCAGTCATTGTACCCAAATTTGCTGTTAAATCTCTTTTCCTTGCTAGTCAGCAAATATCTTAATGATACCTCAGTTAGATCCCATAACTTCCCACTTGCTTAAAATTGTTAAAGTTGTGTCTTATATCCTTTCAAAGCTTTCCCCTTCCCACTGCAGGCCAGATTTGTAGCTCCAGGGGCACAAATAGGGGAAGGACGTATTCTGTTGGTTTACTCCTTCTCCCTTTCCCTCCTTTTGGAGTCCTTGGGAGGGCAGTATGGTCTACCTCTGGGGCACTTCCTCCATCTCTCTAGGCTCCAGCTCCCCTGGTGTATTGGCACAGGGAGGAAGGAAAAGGAAAAGACACATATCTCACACAGTGGCTGCTGTTGTGTGATGGCTTTTTGATATATAAACTTGGCTAGGCTGAACTACATTCTCTAGTTATTTAATCAAACACTAATATAAGTGCTGCTATGAAGGTTTTTGCAGATGTGATAGAAGTCCCTAATCAGTTGACTTTAAGTTAATAAAAGAAAGACTATCCTGGGTGGGCCTGACCTAATCAAGTAAGCCCTTCCAAAAACGGATTAGGCTTTCCATGATTTCACAGATTCCAAACAATTCATGCCATTGGGGTTCTAGCCTGCTTATGACCTTCCTTTCCTTACTACCTGTGGACAAGATACTTTGGCCTTTGCTCATGAGTTCCAACATGCTCCTGATCTTTTCTTTCTGACTGCCTGCCCTACAGACTACAAACTTCCTTATCCAGCCACCACAGTTACATTAGCCAATTCCTTGTAATAAATCTCCTATTGGTTCTGTGTCTCAGGTTGAACCCTGACTCTAATACATGGTGAAATTCTCTCTTTGATTATTGTCTTTGTTTCTGTGCTAACTCTGATAGGCCATTGATACTCTGTAGGCTGCAGGCATCCAAATGCATGCTATCTTACGTAAGTTCTGTAGAGCCTCCCCAGTGCACAAATTCCTGATGTGGGGGAGTCTCCTGCCCTGGGGCTATGGCCCACAGGTTTTTGCTTTTTTTAAAAAATTTTATTTATTTATTTATTTATTTTTGGCTGTGTTGGGTCTTTGTTTCTGTGCGAGGGCTTTCTCTAGTTGTGGCAAGCAGGGGCCACTCTTCATCGCGGTGCATGGGCCTCTCACTGTCGCGGCAGCCTCTCTTGTTGTGGAGCACAAGCTCCAGACGCGCAGGCTCAGTAGTTGTGGCTCAGGGGCCTAGTTGCTCCGCGGCATGTGGGATCTTCCCAGACCAGGGCTCGAACCCGTGTCCCCTGCATTGGCAGGCAGATTCTCAACCACTGTGCCACCAGGGAAGCCCAGCCCACAGGTTTTTGCTGTTTGGGTCCTCTTGCCGGGTGGGCAGTTCTCTTGGTTAGGTACCAAAAATATTCACTTGACCCCAGGAAAGTCACATATCCTTACCACTCCAGTGAGTATATAGGCCACTCACCACTTCCCCCTTCTCTCCAATTTTCTCTTTCCTCGAGCAAGCAAAGAGCAAATTAAAATGTGCTGTCTAAGCAGACTTCCAATTGGAGAACGAGAAAGCACACCCAATCATTGTAAATAATGATCTGGTAACTTTCACCCTCAGTTGGCTCTAAGGAGGAACATCCCTGTCCCCTCCCCATTAGGAAAAAGCACAACATTCTTCTTAGACCAAGGACCCACAATAGATAATATGATCCCTTTGACAGACTGCATTTTCCAAAGAGAGTCACTAGTCTAGTATCTCCCATACTACATGTCTGGTTTTGTAAAATGTGAGTTTGACATTATTAAATAGAGAGGTAGGGTCTATATTCCCTCTCATTAAAAGTAGCCCTGCTTTTGTGACTGTTTCAACGAATAGAGTATGGTAAAAGTGACCTATTATGATTTCTGAGGCTAGGACATAAAAGGAAATATAGCTATTCCTTCCTAGCTGCAATACTTGTGCTTGGAGCTCTGAGCCACCAAGTAAGCAGTCTGACTGCTCTGAAGTCACCATGCTGTAAGGAAGCTCAAACTAGCCCATGTAGAGAAACCACATGGAGAGGTCCTGAGACCACCTGAAGAGAGAGAAATTCCTGGTAAGCCCCCAGCTGCTCCAGCCCCCTGCTGTTTGAACTCCAGCCACCCATCTGTCTTCAAGTATATAAGAGACCCTGAGTCAGGATTGCCCTGCCAAGTCCTTTCCAAATTCCTGATCTATAGAAACCATGACAGATAGTAAAATGATTGTTGTCGTTTTAAGCCACTAAGCTTTGGAGTGATTTGTTACCTGCAATAGATAACTGGAACACCCTATTTCCCTCCCTAGTATTTTAAGGAATCGGAAGGAGGAGTGGTCTTAGTGACAGTTAAAGTAAAAGGCCTCTTATATTTGGACCAAAATGATTGGCTTTTGAAACTGGGATATTTTGTCCCCCATTGTGAGATCCTGGATTCTCATTCTGAGGTAAGAGGAAACTTTTTTTTTTCATTAAAGTATAGTTGATTTAGAATGTTCTGTTAGTTTCTGGTGTACAGCAAAGTGGTTCTGTTATATGTATGTGTGTACATATACATACACACACATATATATAACTGAATCACTTTGATTGTTATACATACGTGTGTGTGGTGGTGTGCATACATATATATATATATATAATGAAGAGGAAAGTTTTAGTCAACATCCTGTTAGGTATAAATTAATGTATTTAATCCTAGTCCAACTGTATACTTTAAACTGTTATTTGAACTGTGTCATCTTTGTTCATTTCTCTCAGTGGATTAGTCTATAACAGATATATTCCAGGTATTTCTCAACACCATTAATATTATATTGTATAGGGATTCCCTGGCGGCGCAGTGGTTGAGTCTGCCTGCCCATGCAGGGGACACAGGTTCAAGCCCTGGTCCGGGAAGATCCCACATGCCATGGGGCAACTAAGCCCATATGCCACAAGTGCTGAGCCTGTGCTCTAGAGCCTGCAGGCTGCAACTACTGAGCCTGCAGGCTGCAACTACTGAGCCCACGTGCCACATCTATTGAAGCCCGCGCACCTAGAGCCCGTGCTCGGCAACAAGAGAGGCCACTGCAATGAGGAGCCCGTGCACTGCAACGAAGAGTAGTC